TAAAGATGCAAAATGTAAAATAATCCAGAGATACCTTCCCGAGTCGGGCAGTAACGACCGGCAGCAATGCTTATCAACACAAAATAAAAAGCAGGACACAAGCAATCAAACCAGACAATGAGAGTGGCTCCGTCGAGATATCCATCTCCTCCGCACCCAAACTGGACACTCCATTCCAGGAAATGCAATCGGAGCACACTCAGAGCCTCTCACATGTGAAAGGACTCTGCTCCACCGACCATTGACTCAGCTCAACGGATCCGGGAAGTCTATTCAAACTCTTTTGTTGGACGGTGCTTACTCCGGATTTTGCCCCAGGATACGAAAACCCCTATAAGAACCCCGGACTGCAGTACCTACTTCGTGGATTTGGGTAAATCTGTACCTCTGGGTATAGACGTCTCCCTGTCCACCCAGCGCTGCGCTGATTTATTGTGGTTTTTTCTCTCGTTGTTTGTGATTGAAATTGTTTTATAATACATCGCTTTTTATATTAACCCTATTTTTGCCATTGCATTTATAACAGCATCATATGTGATCTTGCTTAGTACCCCTTCTAGTCCTGTGCCCAAGTCATTTATGATGCTGAAGAAATGCCCAAACTAAGCAGCCATGAAAGCTGGACTCAAGATGAAACACTGAATCCAATAAATAAGCTGTCCTTGCTGGACAAGGAACACCTGCCTATAAACTAGACAAAGAAAACCCGATAATAGTGTTATAAATTAAATTCAGCCAAATTTATCAATAACAATTTTATTGAAAAGTTTGCAAAATGGAGAATACAACCACAATCACAGTCAGCGTAGAGCCTGGGATCAGCGCTGGGTGAACTATGAATCAGCCTCTGTTGCACTGATTCCCCCAAGTTCACAAACTGTCTTTTGGAGAGCTGTCTTTTATACAGTTTTTTCAGATTGAGGCCATGCAGCTTCAGTTTCTTTTTTCTTGTGTTGTTACATATTCATATTTTTTCTGTTAGTTTGTTCATGAAGTTTCTGAGAAAGGAGGGAGAGTCTGAGTAGTTTTATGGGAACTGGGTATTGAGATGAATGGTCCTGAAGAATCAGATCAGGTCGGTATCAGGAGTTAATCACTAGGTTGTTAGTAGGCTCATCAGGCTAGGTGGACCCACCTCTTCTCGGTGTTATCTTAATTGCTGGGTCATTTTCTTGCAAATTCCTGGTTTTCCAGCAGCTACTTTTGCAATCTCAAATTGCTTGTGTTTTTTTGCATAAAACATGCTTTTATATTTGATTTTATATGTGTACAATAAAACGCAAATTATACCAACATACATTACAATGGTATGACCTGCCTGCCATGATAGTTATGTATCTGAATTTACTTTGTGAACCCTTTTTGCAGGGAACAGGCTGCTGACAGGTTGCTTCCATTAACAACAAGGCAGGGATTCTTCCCACTGCTTGAAAAACCTGTACTTTTCTGCAGAAGTGAGAGGATTGTAATTCGGATCAGAGGTCCTGGAATTGGTTAGTACTCAGTATGAAACAAACTTTACTTGCCAACTGAGACTCATAATCCTGAATCCTGAGTGTGTGTTTGTGTGATCTGGTTGTCTCATGGAGAATGAATAGATTAAATCAGAAGATATTAAATGCAGCATGCCAGACAAGCACAATTGGTTGTGCCAATTTCCCAAAAGTGGATTGAAAACCTTCCCTGGCACTTCTTCACTTATGTGTTTATGCAGTGGTGATTTCATTTTATTGTTTTTTTGATTAATGCCCCTTCTGTTCACACCATGCTGGGTCCTTTGCTCAGTCCTAGTCCTGTACTGGTCCTTCCAACCTTTTCCTTCACTTTGTCAGGTGATTCTTAGTCACTGTTTCCACTCCTACCCCATCACTCTTAGTTTCAGCTCTCCTCTCCAGGTTGGCCAGTGTTATAAATAAATCAGTCAAATTTTATCAATAAGGATTTTATTGAAAAATTTGTAAAATCAAATTTTGGAACAGCCAGAAATCAAGGTCAGCATCGACCCCAGGGTCAGTGCTGGGTGAACTCTGAATTAGCTTCCGTCGCACTGATTTCCCCAAGTTCACAAACTGTCTATCAGAGTGCTGAGTTTTATACAGTCTTTTCAGTTTGAGGCTATGCAGTCTCAGTTTTTTTCCTCCACAATGTGTTGTTCCATATTCATATTTTTGCTGTTTAACTGCTGATGAGTTTTCTAAGAAGTTTGAGTGGTTTTTCAGGAACCAGGCTTTTGAGATGTAGAATTGTGCTGAGTTTTTCCCAGAAGGAGAGGGGGTCTGAGTAGTTTTCTCTGGAAATGGACACTGAGATGTATGGTTGACTGGATTGGTATCAGGTGCTGATTGCCAAATCGTTAGTGGCTCATCTTATCTGGGTGGATCCATCTCTTTTATTGGTGCTCCCTTTGTCCTCTTGCAAGATGTCCTGAGTTCCCAGTTGCCATTGCTGCAATCCCCAATTGCTTGTGTCACGTTTTACATAAAACATGATTTTATACTTGATTTTATATGTGTATAATAAAACGCTAATTACACCAACATATATTACAGCCAGGCTGCTGGCAAAGCTGCTTTTGCTCCGCTTGGTCAGGATGATTGCCTTCTAAGCAGTCCAGATCCTCAAAGAGAGTCACATGGACACAGAAGCCAAACCCTGCTGCTGACATCAGCAGGACAAACACAGGTGTGGGTCATTCACTTAAGAGCTGGACTTGGTGATCCTTCTGGATTCCCTTCTAACTCAGACTATTCTCTGATTTGTGATCTCAACTGTGGACCAGATCCATCCAGTCCTCTTCAGACTCTCCTCCTCCTCACCAGCATTATTAAGGAAAGTATTAAGGAAAGCACTCATGGTGGCCTTCACTCTTCACTGGTAGAGAATATCTCAACACTACCACTCACCATTTTCTCTTGCCACATGGTTAAGGTCCAGCTGGTTCAATTATTTCCCTGTGCAGAGCTCTCATCCAGGGAAATGCCTTGGCACTGAACCTCTTCTCATGGGTGCAGATCTGCACATGGAGCAGGGGTTGCTCCCCCAGGGCTAGAAGCTACCAGCTTCTAACTTTCATCATCAGTGGAGTTTCCATTTTCCAACCTTAGTAAACAGAGACTCCATGTGTTCTCCTGCTGCAGTTAAAGGTTCAGGGTTTGTTCTCCTGCTGTAGTTGAAGGTTCAGGGTTTGGAAGCTGCAGCATCTCGGCAACTTGTGCCAATGTCTCACTTGACCCTCCTTGCTCAAGACTCAAGATCTGCAAGCTCAGGGCCCTGTTGGATCAGGAGCAGCTGGCAGAATTGACTAGAGGCTGCTGTTAGCAGACATGGGCTCATGTAGCTGTCCTCACTGGCACCCTAATGTTCCTCCAAGAGTTTCCAGAACTCCCCTGCCATCTCATAAGAAGTTCTTGGAAGACCAAGAAAGTCTCAGAGGAGAGTGGAGATACTGCTGTGTCATAGGCTGTGTCTGGCAAACAGGAAAAGACTGCAGACTTTTGAAGTGCTAGGTGCAGTACATTTTTACGATTTCTACTTTTACTTTTTATGTCAACTACTGAAGCTATTGGTTGACATAAGCAAAATTACAGACATCATAAGAAAGCTGTAAAACTCCCTGACATTGGAATTATGGATTCCAGCACTTTTCAAGGACTTTTTCTATAAAAAACAAAAACCCTAGGAAAAAAATTGGTAACAAAACTAGTAAGGAGACTGACATTCCCTTCTGACCAGAGGATCACCATGGCAGAGATAGTCATGAAACAAAAGTCCTGTTTTATACCCTTCTCTAGCTATCTTCTGATTATGACAGATGTTCAGGGCCCAGCTGCCTTATGTTCTTGGTGAAGGATGCCACTCTCCTGGGTGCAAAGGTTGCCTGAGATGGGGACAATGCAGCACTTTTGTCCCTGTTAAATCTGCTCAGTATTCTCTTGATACCTATGAAGCACTCAAGTGGAAAATACCCCAGGGAATGCATTGCAGGACCCCTGTGTTGCAGGTCTGGCAGGTGTCATGAATAAAATCTCTCAAGAAATCCACCCCGGTTAAAATACTGTGTTTAGTTATGTACAGTTAATGTTCTTATCCTGTTTGTAAACCTTGTACCCCTTGTTTACTCCGGTGGTTATTAGTAATGTTAATTACTTACCAGTTTTTGAAAGTGTTTTAAGAGTTCTTATGAGACATTCCTCTATCCCTTTCCCTTACTTCCCTGCTGCTATGTAACAAAGCTGCTCCCATGGGGGCTGGGTCACGCTAACAAAAGAAACCCATTAGAAAGTTATGCCACAGAAGCTGTGCCCAGGGATGCTGTGCCACACTAGAACAAAGAAAGTCCCATGAAGCTGTGCAAGCGAGTAATATGCAAACTAAGGCATGTAGGACACCAAAACTAAGAGCTAACAGAGGAATAAAAGGACAAGGAAACATATTCTAGCAAGCTATGATGAAAGATTATCTCCCTGCATCACCTAAGGGAGCTTAGAAACCATCTCCCTGCATCACCATGACCTAAAGAGGACTGGAAAGGACTGACGCCCCCTAGACAATGAGCCAGGGCAACAGGCCTCCTGGCTACTCTAAGGAGGACGGAAGCCCCAGCTCTGCAGTGTGTGCTGCAAAGCTGAATTGTGCCTCCTCCTTGGAGCTGCCAGTGTGGGAATGGCCGTGGTGCAAGCAACTCCTCGGGCCCCCCACCCCAAGAGCTGAATCCTAATAAAGGCATCAAACGGGAGTCTTGTCTCCTGGCCAATTTCTTTCAGAGAAGTCTTGGATACACAGTGTCTCTACTTGGCTCTTGCATGCTTGTACCTGAAATCTGGATAAATCATGCAGGACTTTTTTCAGGAGGACCTGATGGCACTAAGTATGAAGATGGATATCTATGTCATCAACTAAGACAGCATCCTTTGCTAGAAATAAAATGGCTATCAGATTCCTGAATTCCTGCAGGGAAGAGCTGCCTCCATGTAGGCTTGGCAGCTGAATACTTCACTCACCTCAACAAAGATGAAGCAGGGGATGATGGAATAACTTCTCTGGGTATTGTTTCCTAAAGCCATTTCTCATCACACTTCTTGGGGAGGCACTGTTCAAAACTTTCTATCCTGAAAAAGAAAAGACAGAGGTATTTCAGTATGCTTCATGTTTTTGCAAACTCCAAAATGAGGTTCACAACACAGAGTACTGACCTAATAGACAAAGGACACAGACTACAAAGAACATCAGAGTCTAACTGTGTAGAAAATACCTTGAGAAAGCTCTCCCTTTGCAACACAAAAGAAGAGACAGACTTAGGTAACAAGGTACATCATACAGATTGAAGGGTGATAAGGAATACAATAGTTTTTCTTAAATACAATCCACTCCCAAGCAAAAGATTCTTCCTCAGAATTGTAAAACCACATTTTCAGCCTACTGACCTGCCTACACACTGACCTGTTTGTTTTAAGCCAGGAGATTTTGATAATTGATTTGTAAACTTGCACTTTAAGAGACATGCTTACAGTACACTGACTGTACATATGATCATAATGTTTATCGGTATAAATCTGCTCAACATGGCCAGCATGTGTCGGGCAGAAAAATTCACAACCGGTAACAAGCAAATGCAACAAAAGCACAATGAAGATGTGGCCCCTCTCTGCAGACCCTTTCTGTCCTGATACAAATTCATACATTAACAAATCAAACTCTACCCACTTAGCATTACTTTGGGCTACTGGCTGTTCTAATTAACGTAACCTTACAACACTGCTAATACACTCTTTTTGCATGAAAAGTAGAAAAAGCAGAGAAAAGAAGACTAACACAAAGAAATTTTACTAACAGTGCGTGTCTTTTTCTGCATGCATGAGGCAGCACATCAAGAAGCTAAGTCTTGTTTAAATGCCTTTACAAGAAGATACAGAGTAGGAGGGAAGGCTGAGCTGGAAAAAGAGTGTATAGCCCAGAGCTGTCAGGTGCAGAATTGCACAAAGCATGAAACACAGCAGACAAAATCCTCTGCTATCAATTTTAACCTAAGCATATCAAGCAAGAGCACAGATTAAGGTGGGTCCAGCCTTACTTCCAACACTTGCAAAGAAACTCTGCCCTGTTGACAAGCACCTTCATGTGTCAGGGCCAGGGATGAGGAAGGAGGTGAAAGCTGATGCATTTTGCTGTGCTTTGCACAGCATCTTCCTGTGACTCTTTAACCTCACTGGCATCTGAGTGGCAATTCAGGCCTTGGCATATGGAGCCTGTGAGGTTCACAGAGGGGTCAGTGCTTTCTCACAAGTACTCATCAGGGTTACTGGGAAAAATACCATGATTGACAGGAGAGTGCATCTGAGGTTATGATGGAGGAGCTGGACCAGCTGCCAGTGCTTGCTACCTGCACCATGTTGCAGGCTCTTGTCTCACCATCTATGAACTACTTAATGTATTCCTTATCTCAGTTCTTCACAGTTTTACCCAGAATTATAAAATACACAATGGATGTAATGGATTTAGGCACAGCAGAGCTATGTGTGACTGGTGACTCCAGTGAGGCTACATTCTGTGTCAAGAATAGCTTCTGAACTGCTAACCATTGAGAATTACAATTTCTGAAAAAACTACATAGTCAAGAATATCACCTGTGATTTGCCTCAGACACCCTCATCTTACACTGTATCCCATACTAAAATACAAATATTCTCAAAACACCTCATTTTCCAAACAGATTTTACTTATTGGATTAAAGGGGTTTATCTCAGAGGTTAGTGTCTTTGCTTAAAAAAGACAAGGTAATCCAACCCCATTTGGACCATGGTAAAAAATTCAGTGATTCATATTTTAACAGCACTTTCAATACCCCTAGCTCTTGTGCTATGTGGCTTTGTAACTTGGCAAACACATGGAACCTGGTGGAATAGCAGGTTAAACAGTCAGAACAGCTGCTCTGTAGCTCTATAGTGCTCTGTAGCACTATTCAATGAAACTTTTCTGTACCCTGGAGATACACTGTCAGTAAATTTGAAAATCCAGTTTTCAAAATGGCAAAAAGACGTTAATACCTCAGGACCTTCATGAATCCTCTGCCAGACTAAGGTTAGAAATAATAAGATTTTCCATGCCACTACATACTGTAATCCCAAGCTACGCCTTCAGTTCCAACTGATGTGTTTGTAACCAGAGGGTTGCAAGGCAACCCAAGAATTTAAAAATTTTTCACAACAGATGTTTGAAGGCAACTGAATAAACTAGCAAAGAAACTGAGGGTTCAGATTCATATAAAACTGCCTGATTTAACACTAGGGGACCCCTGATGTTGCACATGTTTATCACTATGCCTGTTCCTTTAAGCCTGTTGTGCACCACTGGTTCAAAAAACTGCACTTGCCGATGGGAAAGCATTTTACGTGCCATATTCTCTCCTATGTGATGACACATTTGTGTCATGCTTAAGTAGTAAGAGACCAAATGGTTGCGTGATCAGCTAATTTCCAGAGTGTGGGAAAACTCTAAGCTAGCCAGTGCTTTGTAACAGCTGGCCTTTTTATCAGGTTACTTGATGAAAGAGTAAAGGGAAGCAAAGGTGTAGTCTTGGGAGCACCATCTTTTGTCTTTCTTCAGCTGGCAATGAGTCCTCTAGGTATACTGACAGCAAAACACGTATTACAGCAAACCCCAGACACTTCAGCCTGCACAGCAACCCGAGATAACCCAGTTTTTCTCAAAGAATCATAAGATGTAAAAGAAGTTTTAGTAAAAGTCTTGTTCTCTAATCCATGAAGATCTATTCACATTGAACAAATTTTCATAGTGCAAAGCCTCTGACGAAAGCAATGGCAAATAAAAGCTATAATATCAGCATCAGCTTTCTCCATTTGTTATTTATATTTTTATCAACTTGACTGAATTGCTAAGGAACTCATGTGAGCAAAATTGTAACTGTCTTTTTAGATCCCAGTAGCTGTGACATTTTCAGGCTGGGTATGTTATCACAGCACTAGAGTAGAACTGGTCAAACCTATTCTAACTAATTAGGGACCAGTGTAGAGGGAATATTAATAATCTGGAATCTGGTATTATGAGATGCTTCCACACTTAATATATATAATTGTATAATGCAGCATTTGAGAATTAATTAAAATTAGTTTTCATCTTCCTCAATTTACCTCACCTGTGCCTTTTCAGAAAGCCCCATATGTACAGAATAGGAGGTTATTGTCTGGCATCTCCTGGGAGAACAAGTGGAGACAGAGAATGTAAGTTAGTGAATTGAAAACTTAATGAAAAGGACAGCAAAGAAAAAGAGAATTCAAGCTGAAGAAATTTTCTTGCAGAAGGGATACATCCAAGGGAATGGCTTTTAGAATGCCCCATTCAGGTATGTTCTAAAGCCTTTTATGTGAGCATGTGGCAGACAGCAAAAAAGACTTATCTAGGACAAACTGGCATTCACTGGGCCTTTGAGCTCCTGCAGCAGACACAGCACATTCAACTGTTGTTCTGTGTGATCAGTCATCAAACCAGTTAATTTATGATCTATTCCTCTGGAGACAGTGGTCAAACCTATGTTTTTTAAGCCATGTCTGGCAGAGGTAGGAAGAGATGAACAATGTATTTTACATATTGCCACAGTGGATATATGGTCATCTGTGGAAAACACATCAAAAATTCAGACATGCTAACAGGCCCAGTTCATCATAGTTTTCAACTATAGGTTCAGTTATTCAGAATCAATGCAAAATATTTGTTTTGCAGTAGCTGAGAGACCACCAGCCTGAAATCCAGGAGCTACTAATCCAGGAGCAGTAGCGAAGCCACTGGCACATATGGGATATCACCTCACAGCATAATCCCAAATCTTCTCTAACCAGAGGTGAGGAGGGTACCAGGATGTGATGCAAATACTAAAAGAGAAATGGATTTCTGTCTCTTAGTTTCATGATCTTTTCAGCAGCAGCCAACACTGTTCCAAAACAAGGTGTAAATATTATATTAGAAGGAAAACCAACTATTTCTATAACAATGTAAAAGATACTTGAAACATCAGTATTTCCTTGATTCCTAAATTACTTGAACCATATGTTAGGAACTTGCAAACCTCTGTTGGCAACTGGCTTCAAATTATAAAGATCTTTACTCTCATTAAAATAAGAATTCTGTTTACAAGTAAAAAAAATACCACCAAAACCTCTGCACCATTCCATCAATGATCAGTTTACCCAACTGAAAAACAAATTGCATATGTGAAACCCCCATTCAGTTAAGGAAACAAATTTAAATTAATGCTGCTGCTAACAATGATTATCCAAGCTTTGGCAAAGAACTGTATCTTTATAATTACTATTTATTATACTATCTCTTACAGATCTCACTGTAAAGCAGAATCTTCTATTTCCTGTGGAGGGAAAGAGTTGAAGCAATTTGCCCAACATCACGCAATGACTCAATGTATAGGCTGAAGAAAGACACATTCTTCTCAGACTCCTGTCAAGTGCTCTGTCCACTTGACAACACAGTCTCTGCACTTCAAATGTGCTTGCTAATTCCTGCACAAGAACCACACAGTCCTCATCGTATATTTTAGGAATACAGTGTCTCGGTTCTATAAGACAGGTGTCTGCTAGGGAGGGCAGTAGCTTCCCTTGGGATGAAAGAATGTAGGCCCTCCTCCCTCCGAATTATTATAATTTTGAAATCAAGGGGCTTTCAGGCAGAGATCTGGGGATAGGAAGAACAGTTCTTTACTACTATAACAAGGCAAACAAACAACAATAACTACTGCATTAACAAGAAAACAGAAACAGGGACCCCGTGACAGCTTTTTCGGCTGAGACGGGATGGAGGAGAGGCTTTGTTTTCACAAACCCCTCGGGCAGTCAGTCCTGGTGCTCCTGCAGGGCTCCGAGGAACAGTTGGCTGGAACAGCAGGGATGAGCAGAGATCCTGGGCCGGTGGATGAGGTGTATCAGCAGCTCCGCAGCGGTGCCTGGCACTGCCACACGTCCCAGCAGGACAGGGGGTGTGAGGCCACCATCAAAGAGGGAAGAAGGAGAAGAAGCAGCAGCTCCATCTGGGTGATGGTGAAATTCCCTTCTCCCTCCCGCAGCAGGTCCGCGACCCAG